AATACTGCCTTACGCAAGGATAGTAGAAAAACCACTGTGTACTTAGAATGTTTTAGTTGATAGTTGATCGTTGAGTTGATCGATTCGTTGATCGTTGATCGTTTAGTTACGTTGATCGTAGTGTTACGAACGTTGAGTCTGTGAGAGTTGTACATCGCAGTAGATTGTTGGATTGCATTAAATCGTGTTGTTACATCGAAAGATACAGTCCTCTTGATTTGTTTGAACCAGCGGAGCGGGGTTAAAAGAATTCCGCAACAATATCTACCGTTTAAATACTAAAATACGTTTAACAATGCTATGGTTAAGTGGTTTTGAACTATATTCCCGTTGGGTGCCCCTGATTTAAGGTGGCCTGAATTTCATCCGATTGCTTCGAGTCGTTTTAAGGGAGTAATAACGACTCGAAGTAATGGGAAGAAATTCAGGCTACATTTAAGGTACATTTTTAGCAGCACTCTTGGTGACATTACCTTGGCAATATGGTCAACTTCTTTCCAGGATTTACGATATTTATTTTTATTTCAAATGAATTAAGAGCAGGTCACTTACTTTCCAGACACCCAGAGATTTGTTTTCCATAACAGGAAGGGTAGCGTATGAAAATACCACACATAAAACTGGTAATGTAGGGATCGTGAGAAAGCCATGCCAATAAAATTAGAAACAAACAGTACATAAACAATCTGTATTCATAGTCAAGGAATATAACAATAAGCAAATGTCTTCACTGCACAAATTCTCCAGACTAATCTCCATACACATCCATAAAAATGAGTTTAGAGAATTTGTTAAAAGATCAAGGCATTTTCCCTTTGCTAATTAATTTTTTAATTCTTATAACCTTTTGTCTTGATTGCGTATTGAAATTGTCAGGAGAAAATTGATGTTGGTCACTCTTAAAAAACAGACCTGGTCAGGCCTGCAAATAATCTTTCTTTTCAAAAAAGGACAGTCAGACCAGGTCACAGTCACTTGAGGTCACCATTTAAAATGAAAAACTAGAAAATTTGGTGAAATCTTGCGTTTCAAAATGATAGGACTTCCTAGTTATCTGATCTGTCTGATTAAAAAATCTGACCACAGGGTGTGTCTTGTTAGACATGAGACAAATTTCAGTCAAACATTGTCCAATGACCAACAATTATTGTTACTGTTATCTTCAGCTCTACAGTCCTAGAAGGCCACCTGTCATAAGACATGGGCATCTGCAACGCTCCTCTCCAAGACGTCTCTTTGAAATGGCCCCCACCCTGAGGTACCTCTCTAAAATGGTTCCTCCCTGGGGCATTTCTCTAAAATGGCTCCTCCCCGAGGCATTTGTTTGAAATAACACCTTCTTGAGGCATCTCTGTAAAATGGCACCTCTCTAAGGCACCTCCTAAAAATATCACCTTTCTAAGGCATCTCTCTAAAATAGCTTCTCTCTTAGGCATCTCCCCAAAATGGCACCTCCCTTAGACATCTCTCTCTTAAATGGCACCTCTCTAAGGCATCTCTGTAAAATGGCACCTCTCCAAAATGGCACATCCCTAAGCTCTCTTAAATAGCACCTCCTTAAGGCATCTCCCCTAAAATAGCAACCCCACAAAGCATCTCTTGAAAAAGGACCCTTCTCCCTGATACCTTTCTAAGATGGACAACTAATATTGTTGTTACTATCATCAAAGGATATGATTTGCAGTTACAGTCATTCTCTTAAATGGCCTCTTGAAATAACTTTGCAGTGTCTCTGATTTTCTGTCAAACAAAATTGAAAAAAATAAAACATGCATTTGAACTAGCAATGCTTGGGTCAAAAGAAAACAAGATTCCCCTATAATAATATATATATTTTTTATATTATTATTAGTTTTTACAATAAATGCCTCCAAAATATTGATTATGAGAAGAAAGGTATTAAAAGTGAACATAATCTTTGCCGCTCAATTGACATCATTTCATCCATCCAGTATGTTACAAACTCACAATGGCCTGCTCTCCAGTTGGCTTGATTAGCCCAATGGATAGAGCATTGCATCCAGTCATCCCAAAGGTCAGGCTTCGATTCCTGGTCACGTCTGAACTTTTTCAGATTCTTTTTCAACCGCTTGGGTTGTTATTCAACTGCGAAGATAATGTTCACTTTCTATCATAATCCGCAGATCAAAAATGATTTGTTTCAAATATTTCAATTCAAGAAAAGGTAGTGTTATATTTACAAGGAACAACATACCTAGTCCACTTGCAAAGATAAAAAAGCAACAAAACTGTTAAGTGACAAGCAAGAAGGCTAATGTGAAAATAGCGACTAAGGAAAAGCCATTCAGGTAGAAATCTCCAGTTGACTGTCCACTTAAATAGAAACTGTCGTCCTAAGTTGAATGCCATGGTTATGTAGCTAACGGGATTTTCAAACAGAAAAGGGAGACCAAGTACAAGCTGAAAAAAAGGAGAAAAAAGCATGTTTAAGGCTAAAAATACACCACATTTTACTTTAATTGTAAGTTTAAGGCATAATAACAGGGAACTTGAAAGAAATGTGTTAAAAATTGTGGTTAATCTACAGAATTGTCATTTTGTTTACTTTTAAGATGTTGCATAAAATGATGCCACTGTGGAAACTCCCTAGAGTAGTTTCTTACTTGTACTACAGCACACAAAGCTAGTCTAGGAATTGTCCACCACACACCAAAGGATTTAAAGAGAAGAAGCAAAAGGCCAGGAGCGAACAGCAAAATGTTCATCTTAATGCTGACAGCCAGGCTAATAAAAAAATGGAACAAAAAATTCTTTGATCAATAATATTATCATCTAAAAAAAGAGAGTTGAGATTGGTGTTTGAAAAGAGGCCTTAGAATATAATACCTTACAGTAAATACATGAAATATACCAAAAATTAAATGAAATTTAACAAAGTTAACAACAAGGAGCCTACTTTGGTTACCAGAGGTTTTTTCCTTGCGTTCAACATGAGGCAAAAAGCATTGTCAGCCATAGGCCAACGTGTCTTTGGCAAAAGGCCGAAGACATGCATGAGCGAAAAGACTTGATAAAAACCGGAAACTGCGCATGAAAAGCCTCTGGCACCCTGAGTACAAGGATCCCTAACTCAGTCAGCCATCAGTTTGGAAGCACGGGCATGGTCAGCCCTGTTTGTATCAGCTCCATGTCCTTGGTACAGCCCTTCATGGCTGCCACTGGGTTTCAATTAGCCTTTGGATCTTTAGCTTACCCTCATCCCTAACCCTCTTTATTTTTCCACTGATTAGTCAGAGAGATGGGGGCCTGGCTCTATTGGCATGGGGGTTCATGCTAGGAAGGCATGGGTCTACCAGCTGAAAGGGGGAATAACTCTAACTGGGGGCTGACTGCGCCAAAATCGAAAGCCCCTGGGAATCACATGCGTCCTTTCCCACTCTCTTTGCAATAAAGTTGTTAAATTAGCATCGCCACGTATGTCAAATGATACATAAAATTTCCATGTCATTACAACTTGTCCAAAAATTTATTTTCATTTTTGGGCGGTGAAATCCTGCATTTTTAATCTACATGTTATACCCATACATGCTTTCCACACTCCATCATTCCCGCTTATATAATTTTAAAATTACATCATACCTGAACATAAGACATCCAATGCTCCACCAATTAATTAAAAAACAGTTCACAGCAAGGTAAAGGAAGAACATTGCCACTGGATCGTTAAAGAGACGTAGAATGTAAATTGAATGAATTCTGTATGAGGCACAGCACATAAAGAAAAAAGCATAAGGAGGAACCTGAGGGAAAGCAAAATATGAATCAGTGTAAGATTCTGGGAAACTCTTACCTACCCATCCCCTAACTCAACATTTTGCCCTAAGTAAGTAATGAGTGTTAAACTTAGGTTAGGGGAGGCGTATGTGGTCAGTTTCTTTAGAATCTTATACTGGTCCTATGATTCTGTGGAGCTGCCCACCTACCCCTCCCTTAACCCAACACTTTGCTCTTTCGTTAGTTAGGGGAGAGGTGGGTGAGCAGTTTTGATGTCTTACAGTAGTTTTGGTAACCCTCCACCACATGATTTTTTCTTTTATTAACGGGGATTTTATTCACCATTTAAGCAGAAAAATGGACAAGGATGTCCATTGTCACAGGATGCGTGAATTTAAATATCTTTGCATTTTTATCGAGATAAATACGTCCTTATTTTCATTAACCCTTCGCGCTTGAGTAAAATAAATTGTTAACAAATTGTGCCAGTAGTAACATGAGTTTCAGGGACAAGCTGGAACTGTTTCAAGTGCTGACTAAATACCTACATATTCTCTAGGCCCAGCTGGATAAAAAGGTCATACTAAATAATGGTTCCTTTTAGCAGATCATGAAATATCCCAAGGGACTCGTATTTTGTTGAATATTGCACCTCAAAATCACTGCATAACTTCATGTTTATAGTATTCACAAGTAATTCCCAAATGTCAAAATAATTTTCAAGAAAAAATGTCACAATTCCATTTCTTCAAAGTGCTGAGAAATTAATGGTATTTCATTATTCCACGACGGTAAAGATATTTCTGATACTGTAACGGTAAAAGAATAGCTACCTTGTTATCTAGTCGTCATTTTAAGACTTACCGAAGCAGTTTTTTGGTAAATTGCAAATACACAAACCAGCGTGAGAATATAAAGTGCAGCAAAAATATACTGAGCAGTCCTGATATCTGTTCCATGACCAGTCAGGTAATACAAGCCAGTGAATATGTATACAAACCCAGCTGGGTAACTAAAGAAAATGAAAATTAAAGATATATATAAAATATAATTTAAACACTTAATGGCTGATCCCATAGGAAACATAGTAAAACCCTAATGTAATGAACCCTATGTAATAAACATTTGGGGATAATGGACTAAGTTCTTTGTCCCAGTTACAGTGGAATGTACAGCAAGGGAAACATTATATAACGCATTTCATTTACTTAAAAACATGCTGTGGTACTTTTCGAAATTTTCCAAATTTTTAGTGCTGCACTTTTTGGTTACAGAACCACAAGCAACTGGTCACAGAAAAGACCTATGGTAAAAACCTCCCTCGTTGACTCTGATTTTGCAATGTTATTTTGTCATTGTCATTATAAGATGTCATGTCACCTTTACCGTCTATTGGGGGGGGCAGAAAAAGAGAGAAGTGGATCCTCAAAATGCTATGACTGCCTTTTAAAAAGATATAAATTCTCCTGGAGGTGCGGGTGCTCCTGTAAGAAAGGTACATAGCTGTGTGCCACCCAAAGGATGTGGTTTCGGAGCTGTGCTGGTTTGAATGAGTATAGATTTCACTCATTTATATGGTCTGAAATAAGGTATTTTTTCAAGGGAACCAAGAGACTGTGCATCAACATATTTTTGCTTAAAACAGTGTTCAGTGTCCAATATTACTAATTAATTTAATTAAATAGTTGACTTCACTTGGACAAGATGATGGGTTTGCAAACTGAGCATAACTAAAAATGGGTAGGGATTTTAGACTCAGGTCACCACTGTGCAAACATTAGATAGCAGTATCTACTGGATAAATTACTATCCAGCGAATATCTAGAGTATTTGGGAAACCAATTGCATTATCCACCAGATAGAGATTGATCCAGTTGATAGCATTATCCACATTTCATACATTATTGAGCCCACGCCTGAAAACAGGTGCAGTGCAAAATAACATGTTTTGGTCTGAAACAGGGTCAAGATTTTGAGAACTGGGGAGTGCACCCTAACCAAGAATTCCAAAGAGTACTCTCCCCCCCCCCTGGATTACTAAACTGATAGCAGAATGTGCTCTTACACTAGTGGTCCTGTTTCTCCTTTCAAGTAGGTGTAGTCATATGTCCCATTTATCACACCCTCAACTTCATCCATATAAGCTTCCCAATCTATCTCTGTATCTAAAAATTAAAGTTAAAAAATTAATAAGTGAAAAATATTTAAAATAATTCCATAAGTCCACGTTGGATGCAAGTTGGCTATAATCAATCTCATACCCCCTCAAGGCCAATTCAGAATGATTATCTCGTTATATTACATATATCATACAAAATGCCCTCTGTAATTACACAGGATTCTGGCTGATAGAACGTCCAAGTTCACCATTTTCACCAGGCGCCGATCCACACCGATTTCCACCATTTTTCGGAAAGCAGTCAGATTTTTCACCATAAAGATATTTTTAATAAAAAAACACTCCCTAAGTTGAAATCTGGAAAATGGTTAATAAACACGCTGCGAGATTTCAGCTGGAAAATCAATTGTATATATCCTGTCTGAATGACTCAGAAACCAGGAAAGGGGACTACAGGGAGTTAAAATCCAAAAAAATTTTCGGGAGAACATGCCCCCTGGATGGAACCCCCTAGAAGCTTGTGCCTCTGGTACTCATTTTAGGAAATCGGTCAGTATTTATCCTAGATCTGCACCTGGTCACTGTCACACTCATTTTCCATACAAGGTCAAAAGTAAGTATAACGGCTGATTAACAGAGATCCAGTGAACCAATAACAAAGCTAGACATGCATTATCCAAGGCTGAACATTATATTTTGATATACGAGATATTAAAAAAATCAAATTTTTATTACCACCAACTTTTCACACAATGATATTGGAGAGATTAAGATTCACGTTTACCGCAAATGGCAAACGTCAGACTCAAGTTGAAAATTTCACAGAATAGAAAATAAGCATATAAAAACAGTCCCGAACAATTCCTGTGGTTAAAACTGGCATAAAATAACTTATTTTTGTGTAGAAGCAATAAAGAGTAAACGGAAAATAAGGGGAAAACTTGGTCGCGTGGTACAAATTCAGGTCTACCATTGGGTGTAAACCTGAATCTTAATCTCTCTATCACTTGAAAAATCCCTTCATTTTGAAATTTACAACCCTCAAAAATCCTCCAAAGGCTTACTCCTGTCTGGACCCCTTGTCAGGAGCCAGGGTCCTCCAGTTTACCCCATGGGGATAGACCAAAAAATAAATAAATCTAATAAATAAATAAATTATAATAAATCTAATAAATCTAATGCCAGACCTCTCCCCTCCCACTTACTCAGTGCTGGTCACATCAAACCCCACACCTTGACTTGGTCTCCTCAATATTTTTTGAAGAAAAAAAAATGAGCTGAAACGAAAGCTGTAAGAACTAAAAAGTCAGCAGAAACCTGGCAGGACAGGCTACTCACACTTAATTTTCCATATGACCACAATATTTACCACGATCTCTGCAAAGAGAAGACCAATGCCTACTATCCAGGTCTTAGAGGGATCAAACAACAGCTTTTTTACCCACTCGAATAAAGACTGCAGATCAAAATCCCTATCCTTGGATTTTCCTCTCTTTCGAGGAACCGCCATTTTAGCCATAGCCGCCTTCGAACGTTTCCTACATTTTGATTGGCTACGAGGACATTCGGTGCGGTTCGGAGATATCTCGATTTGGCCGAAATTTTACGAAGTTTACTCAGTCACAACATGGCGAATTCTTTGCCGCAGCTGGGCTTGCTTTTAATCACAGCTTTCTACGCAGGATTCCCACCCACAGAAATCTCTGCACAACAGCAGATTTGTTCATATTTTGGTATGCATTATTGATTTTAATATCTTGCTGTTTCTATCTGTGCAGAGAGGGTTTAGAACGACGCGTTTGTGATTTCCGTAAGCTAACATTTAAGCTTATAAAACATTATGTGCATATGGAATGGGTGTGTGGAAGGAAGGTTTAACTTTAGCTTTCTTTCGTCAAACAGCTCAACAAATTCATTATTATTCGCATGATTTAAACAGGAAACAGGATAGGATGAATAATATCACCAGTTTGTTACTACGTCACTCGAACTTCTGCTCGAAGTCACGATTTCATTTTCGGGGAATTCCCCAGATACGGAATATGTCGAATATGCTACAGTGTATTTATTTTTGGGGGTGTAAACAATCGTGCATAATCTCATTTATGTGCTGAATACTTTCTCAGATAATTTATTGTCAAATACCGACAGAACTCAATTTTAGCTGAATTTAATTTTGTTTACATAAAGAGCTTGTTGTTGAGTCTGCAAAAACTGCTGTGGATCTATTTCAGTGACATCTGCTGCCATAATATTAGCCAAATTTTCAGTGAAAATCCCCAATTTTTTAACCTGAACAAAAAAACTTCTAGACTTTTTTTAAGGTATTCTTTTTGCAAGTAGAATTGACCTTTCTCCATTGCTGATGACTACAAATATGGGCTAAAAAAAATAATCAGGATTTTATTGTGTGTTCACTCAAGTGGAATGTGGGAAAGGCCCAGGGAAGTGGGTACTCTAGGAATTTTTAGGTGGGGATGTGCCACTGGGACTGTGTTATAATTGTTAGCCTATACCAGACCTAGTTGCCTTTCTATCCTAGGATCACAATTTTCCTAGTTTCCCTGGTCTAAAATCTTTAACCGACTGATCAGTTTCCTCCATAATGCTACCCTACATGTATCCAAGGCCCAAACCTTTAGATTTCTGTACCCCATCCTAGACTAAACTGTTTGAAAACCCTTTCTTTCACAGCAGCACATACCCATATATGGCAGTGCCCCCTTCGCTGGGGCAAAAGTCTAAAGCCAGTTGAATGTACCATAATTTCAAATAAGCTTTAATACAGCATTGGGAAGAGCCCTATTCTAAATGCCACTTGGAACAGATTTTCCACATTTTGCCACCGTGAACACACTCAGTGAAATAGGGTTGAGGCCACCATTTCATTTACATCACTGTGTCTTGTAACCCTAAGCCCTGTTGGAATTTGGTATGAAATTGACGGGGATGCTCATTAAAAAGTTAGGCTATTTTACTCCTAAAACCAGACGCGGATCCAGGATAAATACTGACCGATTTCCAGAAGGAGCCCCAAGGTGCAAGCTTCTATTTTTTGGATTTTAACTCCCATTCCTGGGTTTCTGAGTCATTCAGACAGGATATTAGCCAGATTTAAACTTCGAAAGTGAATTCTATTTTTGAAAATATATTTATTATGAAAAATCTGACCGATTTCCATAAAATGGTAGAAACCGGTGTGGATCCGCGCCTGAAAAGATACTAATCTAGGCATGGGTGAGGCTTTTTTTACTCATCTTTCAACAAGTATGACTGTCTTTGTTTTATTTTTATTTAGGTGTATTTTTATTTATAACCCTAAGCAATTCCATATTGGCTAAAAACATTGGTTTTCCATCCTGAATACCCTAAATGAGACCAAAGTCTGCAATTTCTACAGCTTAGTGAGACAGCAACTGTCTTGATCAATTTTTATGGGAGTAGCCCCTTACCCCAAGCTTCTGGTTAGTGCCTTTGTTCATCAGAATGGGAACAATTTTTTTGTGCTCTTAATTATGATCAGGGGCACCCAATGACTCTTTTCTGTAAAATAACTGTTCGAAGGAGCAAATATTGCCTAGAAATTTCTGAAGCTCGAAAAAGGCCAAAAATTTCTGGTTAACCGTTCCAGTTGCCTAAGATATTTGGAGTTTTTCTACTTTGTACCTTCGATTTTCAAGGGTTGTGTTCTTCACATTTTATTACCAAGATATTGAGAATGTTGCTTTAAAAAACGTCCCCTGAATATTTCAGTATAAAGACAAAGCACCCCTAGAATTTTCTAATGATAGTACAGCTACTCCATTTCCTCGAACTTTCAATCGGACCCATCAGGACAACTAATAGTTTTGGATGAGACAAAAAATCCACCGAAAACTTTCGAAACAGCCAGATAAGTAGTTTTTAGGGCAGCTCCGAATTAACCAAACAGGCCTCTAAAGTACAAAGAAAATCATTTGAGATACTTCTGACGTATTTGGAAACATTCGGTTGTTGTTTGCCCCTGTATGATTTTAATATCAAATCTGACCCCATTTGCAGGTACTGAAAGAAGGCCGAAAGAGGCATACAGCCTTTCTAACTGCACCTGGTTCAGGGAGCGCTCTTGCTGCACAAGAACAGAGGTAACATCAACATTTGCTGGGATACCACATCTTGATACCTCAAGTGATGAATGCCGCAATCACTTAAACTACATGATGTGCTATTTCTGCAGTCCAGACCAGTACCTTTGGTTTAGACAAAGCAAACTACATATCTGCAAGAGCTTCTGCGACGATATCTACACACACTGCAAGGATGCAAAATACAATGGAAAAAACATTGGTTCAGCATACTCGGATGGTCGCGACTTCTGCAAGGGGCAGTTCTTTAGTGTCTTGGATGAGGATACTGAATTGTGTTTCAAATATGATCAAACATTGTTCGGAGCTGCATCATTCCTACTCCCACATGTGCACATCGTTGCATTGTTGCTTGTTTTAGGCCTGACAAACTATTTTCCCTGGACTTGATGTATTTCCTCCTGCATTTTATTCACTTTATTTCAGAACATTGTATATTCAGATGTATATTATAAACTCTATAAAAAATGTAATTGGCTAAAATAGAAGCAAAAATTATCCGTGACGCCCAAATTCTTTATTCAAAGTAATTATCGCTAAGGAGACCTGATAATGAACCAATTATTTTGTATATTTTTATTTACTCTGAGCATAAACTTCAAATTGTGAAAAGAAACACCTTTTGTTAAAAAAATCATGTCTACAACAATAATAGATGATTCTCAAGCATTGTAGACATGTTGTCATTCATGTAATAAGTGTAGGCAAACTTGAAAACAGTGGGCCGCCATCCAAGTCTACCAGAAAGCAATCCTTTTTAATCATTCTTCAGTCTTACCTATCTGCACTATTGTCCAAGTTTTCTGTTTCTCTTTTGTTGTTGTAGAGGTTGAATTTTCAGTCAGTTATGTGTGATGTAACTTGAGAACGCACAAAACAAAAACAAGGGCTCCAAAACTCTATTTTTTGTGTTGCTGTTTTATTATGGTTTTTTTAGTGATAATGAATATCCATGTATCCGGAAAATAGTAATATCTGACGTGCGTGTGTGGGGGGGGGGATAGGGTTTTCAAACAGGAAGGGAGGGAGAGAGCAAGCCTACAGAGCAAGAAGAATGTACCTCTTCAGCCTCTTTTTGCGATATAACGAGCCTCGATTACTGTAAAAACCTGCAGCAAAGAACCTGTTTCTTTTTTAACTGTTAGGCTAAAATGTGCTAATAAGGCCCCCTCTATAAAAGAACCTGTTTACCGTAAAAAATAAAAAATAAATTCTGTACACTTGGGCAAGTGAGATAAGTCAACATTCAGGGTCCTCTTTGGAGACACAGATGCCTAAATTATCACTCCAACTGCAATGTAATGTATGCAGAATCAGTATATGAGGAATAAGCTGAACTAAAATACTCCTAGCTACAATGTATTTTTTTCTTCAGAAAATAAGAACCTAAATAGCCTAAATTTGTCATCGTTAGACGTCGTTAGATTTTCTTAATTCGAAAGATTTAAATATGTTTTTTTCACTTCCGTGTATGCCCCTTGCCCTATCATCCTATCATACCACGTTTTTGACGACCAACGCTTTTCTTATGTAACAAATTAATTATGGCCAGCGCGCGGATATCACGAGTTTTTTGTCCGAGTGAAGCGTGAGTACTTCCTCGTGACTCTGGCGCATCCGCTTTGAAGGAAAGGGCAGAGAAACGGTTCCTTGTGAAAGTTTCAAAACGAAAAAAGGTAGACTGCTTGCAACCCGCCTTTTCTCGTAGATTCGTCGAGCTTTTAGTGACACGTACAGTGAGCCAAAGTGTGCGCGTAGGGACAAAAAACGCAGTCTACAAAAACAGGTTACATTATATAAGGTTTTCAAATTATAATGGCAGTTTTCGGCGTGACCATTGGCTGAAACTGGAACTGAAGCTCACGTGACTGTGGATACACGGCATGTCTGCTGAACACAAGTTATTTAAGTGGCCATGTATCAAACTGTAAATATAACTTTGGGAAGAGATTCTGCACGGAGGGACCTGTAGGGATGGACCGTAGTTTACACATCCCAAAGTCCCAAAGATTGCATTTAGTGTATTGCCCCGTGTACTGCCCGGCTGCTTGCTTAGGCTCCCACCGACAAAACAAAACAAAAGAGTTTATTCTCCTCTTGATCCCCTTTTTCGTCTCGTAGTCTCTGTTAAAAGCATCAGCATTAGTTAGTTAATCAACATAAGCCAATTCCGAAGAATATTTTTCACGCCTTATGATTTCTTTCACCGTGTATAGATAGACAATAAAGTTATTGTGTTGTGTTGTATTTCAATCCCGGGGGGGTACTCGCAGAAAAATTGCGTAGGGGTGTGCGGCCCGCTTCGGTTTTGGGAATGGGATAAATACTGGTTTTAGACGCTAAAAGGGATGGGATAAATACTGGATTGGTTTTTAAACTATGGGATAAATACTGGACTGGGAATTTTAATACCCTGTTTCAGACCTGCCTTATAAATTATTTCCCTAGTTCAGACCAATGTTAAAGGCAATGTTTATCTGCTTTTATTAGGTAGGTTATAATACTGCAAAGTTAAGACTACAGTGCAAAAATCGATACCCAATTTATGACCAAAACGGCTGAAAAACCCTACCCTTTGGGGCCGCAAAGACCTATATAGCCCAATTTAGGGAGTACCCCCCCGGGATTTCAATTTATGTTATGTAATTTATTTTGCTGTTTCAGGGGAAAAACAACTAGACAAAACTATTTTAAAAACACTTCAATCTTTTTGTTTACGCACTATCTACCCCCTTGACTTGACAGCCTTGACCTCCACGAAAACGAACAAAATTGCGCTGTGACGTGCATTGTGGCTGGGATTTCGTCACGGCCTAGAGACGCCCGAACATCTTTTTACTTACTAAAAACAATCGACGTGACGCTGTGCCAGAGCCTTAATCTGGTTCTAGGAAATAAGGACATTGTTAGCGTTTTCACTCGGTCAAAATTTCGGCAAAAAAATAATGATAAAACGCCAAGTTTTGGTTTTTCTAGCTTCCCGGGTTGAGGTCAACCCCGACTTGCAATTTAGATCAAGCTGCCTAGTAAAAATTACTTAAATGAGATGATCAAGATTTATATCTTTGCTTAATATATTTTTTATCTTCAATTTAAGCGCAGGTGTATCTTCTCTAGATTGACTCTTCACATTTGGCCAATTACAGTTCAATCAACCATAAACCTTTATATGAAAAAGACGTTTGAGGAGTCGGGATTTCCACAAGGCACAATATCACTTATACCGATTGATGTAATTATCTTTTTTCCGATGACAATCGCATGATTTAGTAGTGCATCGTAATCATAATTTTACCCACGCAAATGTTACGGTAACGTGATTTTAAGGAAAAAAAATACTAGAGAATCAATAGAGTGCTCAAACAGGTAATCAGTGTGTGCTTTATGAGTTGTAGCTGCTTGTCGCATTAAAAAATTCAGCGCAAAGGCCGCTTTGTCAGTTTTGTTTTGGCTCTGGAAAGAAATGTCATTGTCAAAGCCAGACAATGTCCACTGATAATCCTTCCTTCTTCCGGTGGGGCGAAAACAATGCCTTTTTGCCGAATAAACGTGCTCTGCTTTCGGCCTATGTTGGACGCATCCCTGAATAATTAAAGTTTGTGAAAAAAGTCTTCCTATAGAAGGTTTAATCGAAATTTTTATCGTAAATTTTGGTGTCATAAGGTGAATAACTTATCATTATTGTCATATATCATTGCGTATTTGTGCCTCGTTTTGTGCGTAAAAACGTGAACCGGAAGTAAAATATGGATTGCCCATCATGTATTGCGCGCCCCCTTGGCTACCCACGTCACATTCACTGTTTTGAGTTGTTGGTATTCGAGAATATGGCGTGTGTTGGGTGGATGTTTGGCTGATTGCACAAGATTAAGTCAATTTTTCCCTTGAAAGAAACGATTATTTCGCCATGGCTTGTAGTAGCAGTAGTACTTCGAGGTCTGAATTTGTAGTTGGTGGCAAATATCGTCTTGTTCGTAAGATTGGAAGCGGTTCGTTCGGCGATATTTATTTGGCAGTAGTGCTCACATCTGCGTCGACTTCGGAGGAAGTCGCCGTGAAGTTGGAGTCTCAGAAAGCTCGTCATCCACAACTTCTTTATGAGTCAAAGCTCTACAAAATCCTCCAAGGTGGCGTTGGAATCCCAAATTTTCGATGGTATGGCCAAGAGAAAGAGTACAATGTACTGGTTATTGATCTACTCGGCCCAAGTTTGGAAGATCTATTCAATTTCTGTTCGCGTCGCTTCACAATGAAAACAGTTCTCATGCTAGCAGACCAAATGATAAGTCGAGTCGAATATGTCCACAACAAGAACTTTATTCACCGAGATATCAAGCCCGATAATTTCTTGATGGGTATTGGAAGGCAGTGCAACAAGCTGTACTTAATTGATTATGGCTTGGCTAAGAAGTATCGCGATTCAAGGTCGAAGCAACATATACCGTACCGCGAGGATAAAAATCTAACGGGAACGGCTCGCTACGCCAGCATCAATGCTCATCTTGGCATTGAACAGTCAAGAAGAGATGACATGGAGTCCCTTGGCTATGTCCTTATGTACTTCAACCGCAGCAGCCTTCCTTGGCAAGGCTTGAAAGCGGCCACAAAGAAACAAAAGTACGAAAAAATCAGCGAGAAAAAGATGTCAACTCCAGTCGAAGTCCTTTGCAAAGGTTTCCCGGCCGAGTTCGCAATGTACCTTAATTACTGCCGCGGACTGCGCTTTGAGGAGGGCCCCGACTACATGTACCTTCGCCAGTTGTTCAGGATTTTATTTAGGACTTTGAACTACCAGTACGATTACATTTTTGACTGGACAATGTTGAAACAGAAAGCAGCCCAAGTTACGGCTAACACTTCGACAGCTACGGGTGGAGTTCCGACCCCCGCCAAAAAACCTGATCATGGCCATCCTCATCACTCTAAAAACAGAAACGTTTTCGATGGATTAGGATACGAATACTAGACTCTCAAGCTTGCTGTACAATTGGGGTAAAAAAATCTCAGAAAATGCACGAGAAACGAACGCTGATTCATCAAAAAATCTGTTGCGGAGAAAATTATTACACCCTCGTGATTAAACGTGTTTTCAGCACGGCCGCCATCAAAAGCAAAGGAAAGTTTTTTATTTTTTGTTTTATTCGTTTTGTTTTAGCCTTAACTCTCAAGGCAGTACCGAAACATAACAACTCGTCAGAGTTTTCGATGAATATGAAAACACACTGTTTCTTAGGCCGAAGAAAGTCGCTCGAGATGAAATGTTACAGTTTTTGATAAAACGTGAAGACAACAAAGGGTCTGCCCATGCGCGTGACCCTCGAGCGAACAATACTCAAATTATTTCACGTTATTTTTGTCCTATTTTCACTTGTATAGTTCTATTGCGTAGTTTTTCCATTTTCCCAGTAAACAGAATATTTGTGTTTTTGTTTTAGGAACTAGTTAGTAGAAAATTTTTCGAAATTGAATTGTTTGTAATCAGAGCAAGTGATTGCAAATGAGGACATTTTCAGTTTGTGCTTCATTAGTATGTAAATATGCAATTACCAGTGTTAAACAAGTAAGCTTGCTTTTGCTTATGGTTTATTCAATTAAAACTAATATAACCCTCAGTTTTTTCTATTATTAAACTCTTTATTGTAAAGTTTTAAGCAAATGATTCTCTTGTGTTTTTTAGTTAATTCAGGTGTAGCTGTGTAAATTAATAATAAGCGTCTAAAATAAAGAGGGCAGAGAGGTTAGTATGTAACAACTATGGTTAGTCTCTTTTGACCCAGAGTTTTCAAAACTAATGGTTCATTGTTTTTAAGAATCTCTTTAAAGGGGTTTTTGTGACACTACTTGCTATCCTTCATTTGCTCAAGGCTGGTTTTCACCAGCATCAGAGTTGGAGTCGTAATCAGAAGTGTAGAGCTTATGATCTAGTGAAAACAGCATTGTGATTCCTGCCTACGACTCCATCACTAAGTTCCACGTATGATCTAGTAAGAACCAGATTGCTAGAGTCAGAAACAGAAGCAGAACAACTAAACCAATCACAAACGTGCATTGTGATTGGTTTATCCTTCCACTTCTGCCTCCAACCGTGACAATGTGGTTTTCACTAGTTCATAAGTGGAATGTAAGTGACGGAGTGTCAGCAGAGTTGAAAAAAATGGAAATGTGCTGATTCTTCTGACTCCGATTCCACTGCACTTATGACTCCGCTTGCAACTCGATTTTTTATTTTCACTAGGTCATGAACACTCTCATGACTCCAGCCTGTGAACAGGCCTTTTGTTTGAGCAGGGAACCTTCCCTCTCCTTCTTTTTTTTTTTTTTCCCCAAACATGGAGCCTGTTCACAGGCTATTGCGACTCCCACTCTGTCACCAGTGAAATCCAGCCTTTAAAATGTGTTTTCACATCAATAGAATTCCCAAAAAAGTTTTAGCTGTTTGCATTTGCTTTTGTGTTGTTATGGGTGGCAAGGAAAGTAGTTTTGCTATCCTGGAAAATCACCAAAAAATAACATTATAATGGTTAGTGCTCTGATGAAATATGTTTCATATCTTCTTTATATCTCTACTGGGAGCATCTTGTGTATGCCGTAAGGGGGTTAGTGGCGTAGTCACAGAATTGCAATATCTTTGTAGCAAAGCCGCTTTACATCTTGAAGTGCCTGATTCCATAAATCTTGCCATGTTTGTTCTTCAAGACCTTCGCCCTAAAAGTCCCTGAAAGAAATTTTTAGTGTGGAGCGTCTGGAGAAGAGATGTAACTGTAGTTGTAATTTATTGTAATCCAATGACCTTGTAAATCAGGGTTGTCTAAAAAAGGCAACAGCTGACAAAAATTGGCACCTACATAGTATTAATGGCCAGCTACTCTTACTTGTCTGCTATGCTTTGGCTCTGTTTGCACTACAGAAAATTTGGTTGTTTTACAGAAAACTCTGTCAACAGGAAACCATTTCTAGTACGAACAATTTTTTTCTCCTACCAAAACTTTCCTCAAGTGTCACCAAGCTTCAAAGATGCGGTTGAGTAAATTTGGAGGCCTACAAGACTTTGTCAGGCAACAAAATCCTTTGTTCCTTTACAGCTATCCTCTGTCAAGTTATCCTATTTTGTGGACATGATAGTTCAGTTACAAAACTTTAATTTTTTGCATACACCAAACTCTATTTTTTTGTCATAGTGCAGACTGGGCCCTTTCTTCTGATTCTTTGAAAATCAACCACCAACTAATTAGCTAAGAAGCCACCTTCGTCAACACTTTCTGACAGCCCTTGTGCATATGTATTTAAAAGACTGTGTAGGGTGTTTACCTTTGTAGAACTTTGTTCCTCGGGATGTATGTTTACCCATTTAGACCACTAAAGGTTACTCTACAGAACCGCTTTCAAATTCTACCCTTTTCAAGTGTATATTCATAGATATTTCAACAGAAAATTCTGTTTGGAATATCTTTTGTTCTAAAAGAAGTAAACAAACAACCCACACAAAAAGAGGTCTGTTTGTCATTTGGTTACTTTAAAGGGGTTATGTCACAAGGATATTGGCAGCCCTTCAAGGTCATTTGTGTGCTGAAGTCATTACTTAAAGTTCCTTTACCCACCCACAAAATGCTCCTGTTCAGAGTTGTGAAGATATACCAAACAAATTTCATTAGGGAGCACCAACCAAAATAATTTTTTTGATGATTTTTTGCCGGCATAGAATTAAAACTTTTAGGATGGCCCAACCTTTTCAAGTTTCAATCCATGTTCATGCTTACGAGCTTCATTGCCTAAATTATTAGTCTTAAATAACAAAACTGGTTCATTCTTTTTGGAAATAATATTCAATTGATATGACAAAAGTTTGTGCTTTTCATAAAGGTAGCAAATAGCGTGACAGATAATCCTCTTTAACAATTTATAAATTTCATCATACATCAGCTGGTCATTAGCAAGCATGACAAAGCAATTATTTGACCTTGATTCTTGACACAAACTGAAACATCAGCGAGTGGGCAATGGGGCTAGGACTAGGAAACTAGAATATTGATGTGTTGGGAAAACAAGAAATTAAATTCTTTATGCTATTCTTTTTGGAAGGCTTCAGAAAGCATAAGGCTGTTGTCTTGGAGAGGCAATGAATGTCTTTTGCTCTCTTTAGCATCTTGAGCAGATCTGGTTCAATTTGCAGATGGTCTCTGTTTGACAATAATGCTTGTTATTTTGATATTTGAATTTTCATAGATAAAATTATCAGTTGGATGGTTTGTGTAAATTGAAAGCACCCCTAGAGACCAAATTAAAAGGTGTATTTTTCAAAATCTCTGTCAACAAATTCAATATTTAGGCTTGTTTGACAATAAATTTGACTGACTTGCACCACTCCCCCCCCCCCCCCCCCCCCACCCCCACCCCCACAAACACACACAAAAACGCGCCCACCAGAACACACCAAAATAAAACGAACAGTTATCCCGCATTGCTGGTAGAAAATAAAAAAACACGAAAAACAAAAAAAATATATAAATAGTCTTAGAGATAACAATAAAATATAA